AGAAAGAAAATAAAGCTGCTAGAATGGCCCAGCCAATCCCCTGACTTGAATCAAATATAAAATCTATGGAAAGAACTAAAGATCAGAGTTTATAGAAGAAGCCCACAGAAACTTCAAGATTTAAAGACTGTGCGGAAGAATGGGCCAAAATCACACCTGAGCAATGCATGCGACTGGTTTCTCCATACAGGAGGCGTCTTGAAGCTGTCCAACAAATTACCAACAAAGGCTTTTGTACAAAGTATTAAATACATTTCAGTAAGCATGTTCAATACTTTTTCCCTGTGTCATTCCATTTTATTACACATAACTTTATTTTCGGAAATTATTTATTTTGGTTTCTTTGTATGTGTGGATTGCATGGGTTGTTACCGACACCTGGGGAAAATGTCATGTCAATAGCACCTTTAGAAATATATTTACTAAGAAATGGTGACGTGTTCAATACTTATTTTACCCGCTGTATGCTTCCAAATCAGCTGGATTGCCAGTCTCTAAAAAAAGAAAAAAAACAGGGTTTACATTTTGATATATAGGCACTTTCTTTCTCTTTCAGAAGATAGTGGTCTGCAGGAGGTTTTAGATGAACATAAAAAGAGTCTGAAGACAAGATGTGAACATGTGACTGAAGGAACTGATGAAACAGGAAGTGGAACCCTCCTCAACAGGATCTACACTGAGCTCTACATCACAGAGGGACAGAGTGAAGAGGTTAATACCCAACATGAGGTGAGGCAGCTTGAGACAGCTTCCAAGAAGAACATCCTCCATGACACTCCAATCAAGTGCCACGAGATCTTTAAAGCCTTACCTGACCAACAGAGACCCATCAGATTGGTTCTGACGAACGGCGTCGCTGGAGTTGGAAAAACCTTCTCAGTGCAGAAGTTCACTCTGGACTGGGCAGAGGGCTTGGAAAACCAAGATGTCAGTCTGCTGGTTCTGCTTTCGTTCAGGGAGCTGAACCTGATCAAAGATGAGCAGTACAGTCTTCTCACACTGCTCCATGTTTTCCATCCAACATTACAGAAGGTCACAGCAGAGCAGCTCGCTGTCTGTAAACTTTTGTTCATCTTTGATGGCCTGGATGAAAGCAGACTTTCACTGAATTTCCACAACAATGAGGTTGTGTCTGACGTCACACAGAAGTCTTCAGTCAAGGTGCTGTTGACAAACCTCATCAAGGGCAATCTGCTTCCCTCAGCTTTCATCTGGATAACTTCCAGACCTGCAGCAGCCAATCAGATCCCTCCTAAATGTGTCGACAGGGTAACAGAAGTACGAGGCTTCACTGATGCCCAGAAGGATGAGTACTTCAGGAGGACAGTCAGTGATGAAGATCTGTCCAGCAGAATCATCTCACACATCAAGACCTCCAGGAGCCTCCACATCATGTGTCTAATCCCAGTCTTCTGCTGGATCACTGCTACAGTTCTGATCCACATGTTGACTACAGACCAGAGAGGAGAGCTGCCCAAGACCCTGACTGACATGTACTCACACTTCCTGCTGGTTCAGACAAAGAGGAAGAAGCAGAAGTATGATGAAGGACATGAGAAGAGTCCACAGGAGCTGATGGAGGCTGACAGGGAAGTTCTTCTAAAGCTGGGGAGGCTGGCGTTTGAACAGCTGCAGAAAGGAAACATCATGTTCTACCAAGAAGACCTGGAGCAGTGTGGTCTTGATGTCACAGAGGCCTCAGTGTACTCAGGAGTTTGTACAGAGATCTTCAAAAGAGAGAGTGTGATCTTCCAGAAAACAGTCTACTGCTTTGTTCATCTGAGCATTCAGGAGTTTCTGGCTGCAGTCTACATGTTCCACTGTTACACCAACAAGAACACCAAAGTATTGGAGGACGTCCTGGGTAAAAAAAAAAAGGATCTGAAAACGGCTGTTCGTTATGATGATTATAATGACTTTGATGACCCTCAGGATGACTATTATGATAAATATGAGGATGAAGATGAAGAAAAAGACGATTATGACGACTCAGATGTTCGTGATGATGATTATAATGACTTTGATGACCCTCAGGATGACTATTATAATAAATATGAGGATGAAGATGAAGAAAAAGACGATTATGACGACTCAGATGTTCGTGATGATGATTACAATGACTTTGATGACCCTCAGGATGACTATTATGATAAATATGAGGATGAAGATGAAGAAAAAGACGATTATGACGACTCAGATGTTCGTGATGATGATTATAATGACTTTGATGACCCTCAAGATGACTATTATGATAAATATGAAGATGAAATCGAAGAAAGAGATGATTATGACGACTCAGATGTTCGTGATGTTGATTACAATGACTCTGATGACCCTCAGGATGACTATTCTCAGGATGGTTATTCTGGTAAACGTGATCACAGTTACTCTTCCTTGAATGTCTTCCTGAGTAGCGTCATGGAAAAATCCCTCCAAAGTAAAAATGGCCACCTGGACCTGTTTGTTCGCTTCCTACATGGCCTCTCTCTGGAGTCCAACCAGAGACTCTTAGGAGGCCTGCTGGGTCAGACAGACAACAGTCCAGGAACCATCCAGAGAGTCATTGACAATCTGAAGAAGATGAACAGTGATCATATCTCTCCTGACAGAAGCATCAACATCTTCCACTGTCTGATGGAGATGAACGACCACTCAGTCCATCAGGAGATCCAAGAGTTCCTGAAGTCAGGGAGCAGATCAAAGAAGGAACTCTCTGTGATCCACTGCTCAGCTCTGGCCTACATGCTGCAGATGTCAGAGGAGGTTCTGGATGAGGTGGACCTGAAGAAGTACAACACATCAGACCAGGGACGACAGAGACTGATTCCAGCTGTGAGGAACTGCAGAAAGGCTGTGTAAGTACATACATTGTTATTTACAAAATAAATCAGTTTAGAGTTCTAATCGAGTTCCTCAAACATACACAGTTTCAATGCTCATGTGTCATGTCACGAGCTGCTAAGAATTCCATAGTAACAATACGTGTACCTTTTTCAGTCAAATGTGTTTAAATCCATCAACACAATGAACGTAATTATTGGGTTTATTTGTTTAATTTTAGAGTTTGCTTTTCATCTTACACATATTTTTCTTTGTGTGATTTTGCCTTAATTCAAATCTGCCCAAGCAACTTCAGTCAACAGATTATGCTGTCTTTTATCCTAAAGGCCCTGACACCGTTGGCCAATGTCAGGACATCAGTGAGCACATGTAGCCCTAGTTTATGCAGTGTGTTCCGCACCGTTGGCCCTTATGTGTGTTTTTTCCGGCTGACTGAGCATGTTGAAACAGCAGGCCAGAGAGAAATCACTTTGATTGACTAGTCATCTTAAGCAAATGTGAGCAAATTAGCAAACGACTCTGTCAATAGGGATTGCACGAAAGGATTGTCTCAAATTTAACCTTTGTGTGCTTGCTGATTGCTGCAAGCACACATTGCTGCTTGCATGTTGTAAGTGCTCTTATTACTTTTACTCAAAGAACTAAACTATAACAAAGCAAAGTGGATTAAAAATAAAAAGAGGAAAGAGCATAAGTTGTCTATATGCTTTTTTAAGTTTGGACAGGAGCTGAATAAAACTGACAGTTTGGTGGGGAAAATCTATTGTCCTCAACTGTTGTATGAAAAGCTTCTCCTTTATAAGTGTGAATACTTTCAAGATAACAGATTTGACATGACTATGTATTCACAGATTTCATAACAGTGGACTTTCAGACACTCACTTTGAAGTTGTGGCCTCAGCCCTGAGGTCCGATCCCTCCCATCTAACCAAACTGGACCTGAGCTACACCAGCCTGCAGGATTCAGGAGTGAGGCTGTTGTCTGCTGGACTAGAAAGTCCAAACTGTAAACTGGACAGTCTGAGGTCAGTTCACTCTCTGGCTGGTGCTGTTAGATCCTTAACTAAAGTGCAACATTTTCTTTCATCCTTTGTTTCATAGGTTTTATTAAGCAGTTAGAAAAAAATACACAAAGTTTATTTAATATTTCAGTCCTCACTTAGAGACTGTTTTCGTTTCTGTATTTTTGTAAATTGTTTTATTTACCACAGGAGATTACCTGTCAGTGTTTACATCATGCATTACAATACTTGACTGACCCGATAACTTCCATGGAAGACAAATATCCAAACTCCCTGCTGATTATTATTGGGGAAGTTAACAAGACACACCTCAGCCATTAACTGGCAAAATACAGAGAGCACATTAAGGTGGGGTAAGCGATTCTGGAGAAATCTAAAACTATTACAAATGACATGATATAGTGAGAACAATAACACACCAACTGACTAACTTTAGCTATGTTATGGGTTTGCAAACTGTCAATGAAGTAGTTGCTGTGAAGCTAAAGTGGCGGAGAGGATGGAACAGTTTTCCAGAGCCAGCACACAAGCTCCAAACAGTGATACTCACAACTCTCCTGCTACTATAGCTAACATCACAATAACAACATCTTGACAAAGTAGACAGTTACCTGATGCCCAAATGGTGGCTGGAATGGCTGAATTAAGTTAATACTGTGTGGCTTTTAATGCGCACACAGAACGGAAAGCTAGTGGATTTTCACTCATTCGAAAAAAAGTGTATTGGATTTGAATTGCATTACCTAGAATCGTTTATCTACACTTACCACACCCTTTAAATGTCCCATCAGGAAAAGAAACACACTGAACTTTTGTTCCTGAGCTCCCATGCAGCTTTCGGACTCTCTGATCACTTCATCTTCTCCTGAAATCCAGGCATAAACTAAAATCTGATAAGCCTTTGGCCAAGAAGACATGGAGGAGAATGAGAACAAGGCAGAGCTGGAATTGCAGGCCTGCAATGACTGAGTGTTTTTGAGGCTGCAGCCCCAGACCTAGATGAACTGATACTGTGACAATTATTCTTGTTTCAGATTAATTTACTGCAGGTTGTCAGAGACCAGCTGTGATTATCTGGTCTCAGCTCTGAACTCCAACCCCTCCCATCTGAGAGAGCTGGACCTGAGCTACAATCACAAGCTGCAGGATTCAGGAGTGAAGCTGCTGTGTGGTTTTCTGGAGAGTCCACACTGTAGACTGGAGACTCTGAGGTCAGTTCACTGACTCTTCTGCTTCTGATATTATATTTTCTTTGGTTTAGTGTTTCCTGTTTATTTTGTAATACTCTCCTCATCTTGTTTCTGTCATTTTACTTCCCTGGTCAGTTTTCCCTGTGTCTATTTAGATACTAGAGTATGTGTCTAGAGTATGTGTCTGTGTGTTCCTTTGTTTCAGGGCCAGTTCATCTTGTCTGTTACTCAAGCTTTCCAGCCATTGCATAGCGTTTCCCAGTGTTGTAAAGACTTTTACTTTCTTTTAAGGACTTTACTTTCCTGGTATTGACCTTTGCCTGCCTCATTGTCCCTAACCCATTGTTTCAAGACGCATCCCTCATGGGATTATTTAGACACAACAAAACAAACCCACCGCCATTTAACAACAAAACATAAATATAAACCTTATACAAATAACTTATACATAAACATACCAGCTTACCAACACAGTCCCCAACACGCAAGACACAATACACAAATCCAAACAACACAAAAACAAAAGTCCATGTTAGTACTATCCACGGTATTGTTCATAAACCAGCAGTCTACAATCCATATAGAAGAATGTATCTGTCCTATGTTGCTTATCTCCTCCTATCCTATGACAGTCTATCACCAGTAGTTTTTTTGGCCAATTACTGTGATTTTCTTTAGCGAATATTTAGATATAGGGGGTGAATTCGAAGCGGATTCGCAATGGGTGTAACAGACATTAATCTTGTCAATAAATCCCAGAACTGCCTGAACTTGACCCAATATTGGGATCCTCTCCCTGTTGCCTTGCACTCACCAGTCACTCATGTCTCATTGCAGAAGACTCTTCTAATATTGGTTCAACTTTTGTGCCCTTTGTCAATTGTTGAAATGTTATTACAAACACTTTGTCTGATGTAAGCTGCTTTGCAAGTTATTCCATGCTCCAGGAAAAACTGAAGTTTAGCTAGACATGAAAACCTGATCAGATCTGACTGGACTATAAAGTGATTTTTATCTACATTAATTATTATTTTTTCAGTTTGAGTTTCTGCAGTTTGTCAGAGATCAGCTGTTCTTCTCTGGCCTCAGCTCTGAAGTCCAGCCCCTCCCACCTGAGAGAGCTGGACCTGAGTGGAAACAAGCTGCAGGATTCAGTTGTGAATCTACTGTGTGGTTTTCTGGAGAGTCCACACTGTAGACTGGAGACTCTGAGGTCAGACACCATTTTGAAGTGCAGACATAAGGCTGATATTATACTGATCCACACTGAGGATCTTAATGCTAAAGTCTGTTTTCTTCTTCAGTCAATGTTGAGCTACACATTTAAAACCTGAATATAACAAGAAGAATCTCCACTGGAATTTATGTGGGCCGCCCTCCTCTGATTAGAGGGTGTTAACACTGTTTTTATAGAAATGTCCCAAACTGTCCACTCTGTGTCAGCACTGGACTCATAAGGTTCAGGTAAAACTTCACTAATAATGGTAACTTTAACATCAGCATTGATGTGTTTAACACAGTACAGTCATATAATTCAGTTTACAGCTCAAGAAACACTTTCACCATTTGTATCTTACAGTTTTCAACCTGCTGTTGGGTTCAGGTGTTTGGAGTTTCCTTTTTCTAAACTTGTACATTCTAAACTTTCTTCAGCTCTGAACAGATTATTAAACACTGAATGATTTCAAGCAGGAACATTGTCTTCTAAACTCACATCTTTTATTCTTTATTCAGATTGAGGGGCTGCTGGTTGTCAGAGATCAGCTGTGATTATCTGGTCTCAGCTCTGAAGTCCAACCCCTCCCATCTGAGAGAGCTGGACCTGAGTGACAACAAGCTGCAGGATTCAGGAGTGAAGCTGCTGTCTGATCTTGTGAAGAGTCCACACTGTAGACTGGAGACTCTGAGGTCAGTAGACGGTTGGAGTCAGTCCATGCTTGTTTCAGCAGTATTGTACTAAAATCAGGGAGGTTATTCCCATTGTGTATGCCTTCAGTCCTAGCTTCCACCTTATGAGCACCATAACCAATTGGTAAGAGTTGCTAATGCAAACAACATGGATGAGAACCCTGACAGCCAACTGTACAGAGGTATATAAAGTGTGAGTCGAGCTTAAATTCCCACTGCGGTGTACAAGCACATTACCACTGCCCAGGAGAAGCCTGGCCTAACACTACAAATAGTGACTGGTTTAACTGAAAGATTGTTCATCCTATGTTTCTTCTGTAAGTTCTTTCATGTTTCCATAAACAATCAAATTTGATCTGGCAAAGAAATTCTCATTTACATTTTCTCAAAACAAAACATTGCTTGCTGTTGTGAAGATAAAAATTAAACCTAAGCAATGCATGTTGGGAAAAACCAATAGCATGAAGCTTGTCCAAAAGAAGATCGTAATCCACCAGATCAAAAGCTTTGGTGAGATCAATAAATATCCTGTGAGAGGACTGCAATTAGATCAACATGACGGAATCTGTAGAAGAGGACTCGCTCCCTCCATAGATAAAAACGTCTCATTCTAAGGAAACAAAAAAACGTGATTCTTATTTTCATACACTAATAAAAACTTAGCTATGAATATTATATGACAATAGATCCTCCTCAGTGTTACACACTGGACCTTGTTCGAAAGCAATAGTTGTGGAAAAGTTATATCTGAAAATCAAATTGATATTGAGAGGGTGTTTTTTTTCTTTCAAATACTTGCAATGTAACAAATAATTTAAATAGGTAATCACTGGGATCAAGTGTGTCACAACCCTTGTGGAGGAGGGTAAATCGTACCGTTTTCCAAATATCTGGTATTTCATAGGTACATAATGACAGATCAACGGATAGATGAGAATATGAGATGTTAGTTTATCGAATTCAGTTCAATCCCATCAAATCTGAGACCACTGCTCTTTCGGATCATGAATAGCATTGCACCCATCAATAGGAGTTATTGTATTAAAGTAAAAAGAACTTTGACAATCAGAAATGGAAATTAATTTGTGCACTGTTCGATTTGATGTGCTGCATCACTGTTGCAGCGAAAACTTTTAATACTTATTTATGTCTTCTGTTGTCTGTCTTCTTGTCTCCTCAGGTGGAAGTGAACTCCATCAGATTCTAAGAGATGAGAAAGGTGTTTGTATTGAGAGGATCAGCTGTTTGAGCTGGTATTTCAAAAGTGGATTCTGGATCATAATGAAATCTCCTTTTTCTGAGTCAAGGGTCAAACTGATCTCACTGACTTAAGCCCTTTTCGCACATTACATTATCCTGCAGTGAGTTGGTACAGCTGACCTGTATGCATCTTGTAGTGCAGCACTTCTTTCAACTTAAGTTCCACTCTGTCACATTAAAAGTTTTATATCTAACAAAACTATAAAGACGACCCCAAATCACAGAGATGCTGATTCACACGGGACTAATATTATCACAGAACCTCTGACATGTAAATCAGTTTGTATATTATTCATATGTACTTATCTGCATTACTGTTTAAAATATTTAGTTTTAGTGATAGTTTTAGTTTTTTTTATTATAATATGGGAGGTATTTGTCAGTGGCAAGACTTAAGAAGTTCAGAATAGTTATCACAACACAAAAATATTGACTCACAGTCAGATGGTCCGACTCATATGAACCATCATTATTTCAATGAAGTAAAAAGTTTTTTCTAGTTTTAGTTAATTATAATAAAACGTATCTATATCCACCTTGAATCCACACTGGATCCGCCCTTCCAGTGGGTCATCCTGATTTTCAGAATGAAAACTATCCTAATCTTATTTGCTTGAATCCAAATCTTCTGGATCTTGAAATGCATAACTTTCAGATCAGAATATAATATAATCCTGACAGATGCCCCAACAATCCAGAGAGGTTGAAGCAGCAGCATCAGCTCTGACTGGGCCATGTTACTGGGAGGTAGAGTGGAGAGGAGAGCTTCATCCAGCAGTGACTGACAGAGGAATCACAACCAGTGGAGATGACTCTCAGTGCTGCAGTCTGAACTGCTCTGAGATCAGCTCCACTGTCAGACACAATGTCAAGTCCAGATATATTGTACTTTTTACTGATTACATTTATTTAACAGTTACAGTTATGTATATTTTTTTCCCAGATTAATATTTTATATACAGTGTTTTATATGATGCATTAGTTTAGATAAACAGGATTACTAAGGCATTAAAAGAGCAAGCGGTGTCTGCAGAAGGCGCGCACATTGTTAGGAACACCTCCCACCCAGGACACAAACTGTTTGCCCACCTGCCCTCTGGGAGGCGCTACAGGTCTCTCCGTTCCTAAACCAGCAGGCTCAGGAACTGCTTTTTCCCATCAGCTCTCACATCCGCACTATATAATTTACTGCTAATCTGTTCAAACTTTAATTATCTTAATTTAATATCTGTATATATCTCTTAGTGTATTCACCTCACTCTGTTCATTCTATTAATACTGTTCATACTGTAAATATCCTGCTGGTATATTCATATATATAGTCGTAGGAAAATGCATTCAGGGATAAGGTTCTGTGAACATGAAGCAAACTATATTATGAAGTGTTATTTCAGGTTTAATTTTACAGGCTTACAGTATAATATTTTATGTTCATGTATGTTCGTCCTCATGCATTCACACTCTGGTTGTCTCACCCTAGTTAGGAGAGTGTTATTCAGTGTGTCATGAGCACATTCCAAAGACCAAGGCTGTTTTGGGGAGAGAAGGGCATCAGATGTGTTATGACTGTTTATCAGACATTAGACGTCACCAATAGACACCCTTGGGAAAGAGGCTACATTCTTTGGGAAAGAGGCATATAATGGAGTGATTTTCTATGTTCTAGTCAGTTGATTCTTGAGACAACTCGGTTTGCTTGTATCCTGCGTTGATGCAAATAAATCTTGCACGTGGAGTGAAACTGTCAATTCTCTTTGCTTTCTGTGAGTCTGTGTCACCATTCTGGGTACCTTCAGTGGGAGTTTGCAGTCTCTCATTATAGTCAGATAGCTAAAAGTTTATGTCAGACAGACATCAATTGAGATGGAAAAATGAAACCACAACAATATATTTCTATAATGTTATTATGTTATGTAGTGTAATGTTATCGTTGCCTAGTACCTGTACTTGTGCAATGACAATAAAGTTCAATCTAATCTAATAATAATAATCCAGTAACATAGTAAAACAGACTGAGGCCATTCTGAGTACTTTTACTTTGACTCATTTAAATGCTTCTACTTTAACTGAAGTAACATTGTGAATGCATGACTTAAACAGAGTAAACTTATAACAGAGTATTTGTGATACTTGAGTAAATGATCTGAATACTTCCTCCACTACTATTTATTCCACAGAAGAAGCTCCACATGAAAGATTTGATCAGCTCTGATTCTTCTCTTATTATTGGAGTCAGATAATACACCATAATACGCTGTGAGCCGAAAGAAACTTTATTTTCAGCATATAACATAATAAGTTCCTGACTGGATGAAAATGAATGATTTCCTGGTGATATAAATGTATTTAGGGTTTGTTGTTAAATTGATCCTCAGCAGTTTTTTAAGTAGTCTCCTTGGAACAGTGTGAAATGCTGCCAGCACACACATATTTACTGTTGTATAACATAAATGGATAATTTGTACATGTGCAGTATTTCCTGCAGCCTGCTGTGATAGCTGCTGTTCCTGTTGTACTGTAGTGATTTCAGGAAAGAGCTTTGTGATTCTTGTATTAATTACTGGCAAGATAAGTTATTTTGAAAAGAGAAAAGCTAAATAGATTGAAACCAAAGTAAATAATCATTAATTTCATGGTGAAAATAAAATAAATTATATAAAAAAGATTTTTTTACAAATAAACAGGCAAAACAAAATGAGCAAACTACTCCAGCTTCCACTGCGGCCTCAACAACAGACCCGGAGCGTCCATCTCCACCAGGGACTCCGACGACGCGCACGTGTGTGTGTGTGTGTTTGTGTGTGTGTGTGTGCGGCTCTGCACATCAGTCTGATATGAGTGTTGACTTGTGAAGATAATGACTAGGATGTTGATTTAGATTCAAGGCAGCAAGATGAGTTTTGGTTGTGGTTGTACGGATGTACTTTTCATCTGTGCGTTTATGTGTAAATGGACTTGGCCTGTTGTGTGTGAATGTTAGAGTGGGATCAGAGGGGTTAATCTGAGCAAGCATGTGTGCGTGTTCATCATACGTGTACTGTAGATGTGACTGTGTGGTGTCGGAATAAAAAAAGTGCTCCGCAACGTTATTTAAAGGACAATTCCGTTGCAAAATGAACCTGGGGTTAATAAATCATGTGTACCGAGTTCGTCCATTCTCTGGGATATGTTTTCATTCTAATCGCACGTGACCAGATTTAGCACAAACCGCTAATTAGCTTATAATGCTAGTCAACAGGGCACCGAGTAACGTGAAAAGAAAGTTATTTCTATACCACAAACAAGACTCAAAATAGCACCACACTTACACGGTAGCATAATGAGGGTCCCTACTTGTAAACCGAAGCATTGAGAACGTTGTAAGTGTACAGACAGTTTATTAAAAAGATAGTTTAGAACAAAAAAAAAAAACTGGCTCAAATTACATTTGAGCAATTAAGATTGCCTCATATTTGAATGGACAGATTTCCTTTCCTTTAGTAGGTTACCTAAAACTTTCATTGTAATCCTATTCACCATGACCCAAACTATAAGTATGAAAGAAAATAGGACCATTCAAATATAAGGAAATGACTTATAATAAACTCTACCTTTCATTTGATCAAAAACTGTTCAGTAAAAAAGGTACACCTTTTGGTATAGTGGGGGTCGTCCTATTATTGCGTTTATTTATGTTGATAAAAGAACACATTTTCTATTTATTTTCTATTATTATAATTATTATTATTTAAGTATGTTCTCTTTTTCATAAAAGAAAGAATGTTGCAGAAAATAAGTATATGTATCTTTCAGGACCAGTCCAGAGGAGCAGCGTGTTACAGTCTCCACCCTGTGGTGTTCTGAGGATGAGTCACCGAAGGACACTCAGTACTGTCAGATATCTTTATGAGATATACATTTTTTGATTTTGTTTCATTTTGTTTTCATTCAGTTTATTTCAGCTTCTTCATTTAGAATGGTGTACAGACTTAGAAAGTGTCCTACATCAGGAATTAATAGACACCAAGCAGCCAATCAGAATTGAGTATATATCATGTATACCATTGTATAACAGGAGATGTTTGCCCTGCTGTGTGCTGATAAGTATCTGAACACTACTGGGTAGCAACAACCACATACTCACAGCTGAACTGAGGAGAACTGAATTGTGGAGGACTCAACAGTTTCTCCAGACTAACAAATAAAGGACTAAGTTCTTTCTTTAATCCCTTGTTAGCTGTGTTTCATGAAAGAGATAAACACAGAAATCATATAAAGATTGTAGCTCACTGGAAAGGAATGAGCACAGAAAAAGCTGCTAAGTGGAAATCATAAAGAATCAACATGTGGGGCTCCTGTGCTCAGAGGAACCGTATTTGTGTAAAAGAGCGCACACACACACACACACACACACACACACACACACACACACACACACACACACACACACAGTCGTCTGTGATCTTAATCCCGTGCGAATCTGCCATGTCCGTAATTTGTAAAGTAAAAATTCCACCGTAAATTACCCACCATATTTCGCCAAACACAGAGGTCATGTTAATCGGCATCTCTGTGATTTGGGGTCCCCTGGTAATACTGGTCCCATGCTAATAGGGCTTTAGTGTCAAACTGTCATTTTAGTTTTTATTAGTTTTAGTCACGTTTATACTCTTTTTAGTCTAGTCAAGTTTCAGTCGACTAAAAGTCTGAGCATTTTAGTCTTATTTTAGTCAGAATTATCCATGACTAATTTCGTCTAGTTTTAGTCGACGAAAACTGATGAAATTTTAGTCTCTTTTTAGTAATGCGATTCTATTTTAACAGTTAATATAATACAAGTACCTAGTATAGTATAGACAAAACCAAATTTTCTTTAAGTCACATTTCACAAGTCAAACAAGGTTATCTTATTATTATATTATTGTTACCTTATAGACTCAAGAATACATTCAATTCCAGACACGGAAGACGCTCTGATTTGAATTTACAACATATTTATTTTACCTACCAAACATGTAAGAAGTACACACACATACATTTAATAAAAAGAAATAAATAAAATAGCTTCAAATGACAATGCCAGAAAAAATTGACATTACATTCAAGTTTAACTTTTCCTTTCTTTGTGCCAGACTTCACTTTGTTTCTTGAGTTGTCGTTAACGTTAACCCACCGCAGCTGCATCTTCTAAATAATGCCGCGAGTGGGGATTGAGGAAGGGACGTCGTCGATGCAGCGCTGAGACTCAGGAACAGTGGTGGGCAAGTTGCTTCCAAAATGTAATATATTTCATATTACTAGTTACTTGCATTTGAAAGTAATATGTTTCTTTACAATATTACCTTCTGTGTAGAGTAATACGTTACTCATTACTTTTTAGTTACTTTCACCAAAATAAACATTTAGGACAAGTCATTACAAAATGAAGGCGCGCAATATTATGTCATGGCCAATAGTCCTCAAGTAACTGTAGTTCCTCATAAATATAGTGAGGTGGGGGCAACATTAAAGTCTAATGAGGTCTATATTGCATCTGCAGGTAGTGGTTACCATGAATAGCTGAATTACAATAATGTAATGATATAGAATAATTAAACAACCCAAACCTTTACACGACATGACACAAACTCTTTTTCTATGCCTCATTTATTAGCTCCTGAGTCACAAAGTGCGGCCACACAAAGATTTAACAAAAAATTACATTTCCATGAAATTAAACATAATAATAGTTTATACTATTTCAATAATGAAATAAAAGTGCACTTCAAGAATGAGGTCTAACAGCCACCAGACAGGGCATGTTTTGTAATGAAGTATTTTAGAACCTGAGCATTTATCCTGCCCTGAAATAGCTGTAATAAAAAATTAAAACAATTTTTAGTCATTGAATCCCCTCTCACACCACCTGCAGTGTCTCATCTTAAATGAACTATCTGGGGAAATGTGTTTATGCCTCAACAATAGGACTATATCATTAGAGATTTGTTTTTACCTTGTCACTTGATCGAACAGGGATTTTGCTGACAAGCTTTTGAAACGCCGGCGACTCAACTGTAGAAAGAGGCAGCGCATCCTCCTCGACATACTCAGCCACCAGCCTTCTCACTTCTCCTGGGTCAAGCATCTTCACCTCTGGTCTGGAGAAATCCAACTTTCGTTGTTTAGATTTGCTCGCGCCGTCATCTTCCACCTTTTTGCTAGCAAGAGGTCGTTAAACCGCTAGCTTAAGGTTGCTGTGCACTCTCTCCAGGTGTTTCTTGAGGTTACTTGTACTATTTTTAGCCGTGGACAGTTCCCTCGGCCTCCCACCAGCACATAAAGTGCACCTTACTGTGAGGTTCTTATCCATTTCTGTGACAAATTCAAAAAAGTGCGAGTATAACCACTTAGAAAACGAAACAGCTTGGACTGTAACGCGTTACTGGACTCAGTAACTGTAATAGTGTTACCGAAATATAGTTAGTAACGCGTTATATTACTCCGTTACTGGGTAATATATTAATGTAACGCCCCAACACTGCTCAGGAAACAGAAATATTGCAAAATAATAATAATTGCGAGACGAAATAACGTTATAACATTTCGTCTGGTCTCGTTTTGGTCAACGAAAATGAAGAGATATTTTAGCAGAGTTTTTATTTTGCAAACCACGTTTAGTCCCGTTTTTATTTGTAATAATATTGCATTATATATTTGATTATAGTTTTCAACATTAACGTTGCATCTCGTCTCGTTTCAGTCATGTGATAAAGGTTCGTTGACGACGATATTTAGTCATAATTTTTGTTCACGAAAGCAACACTAACACGCACACACAGTCATGTGATTTCTTGTAAATGCAGAGGGGAGGGTCCAGAAACATTAGAACAGGGAGGGAGAACCTTAAAGTGAAAGTGTTCAGTTGGTTCAGTCTCCATTTAGAGTGGACAGAGCAGGAGGAGGAGAACTGAAGGCTGAGGCAGGGTGAGTGTTCATACTACATTTTATTATCTTACTGTCAAAGTCTCTGAGTCAGTTTCTCCTGTAGAGGAAAGAAATGTTTTAGATTGAAAGAAAACTGAGCAGTTGGAGTTTCAGCTGTTTTTTTTACTGTAATAAATAAAAATAACTGTGTGTGAGTGTGTGTGTGTGATTGGGTGGGTGTTTTCTCTTAATCTTGGGTGTGTCTCTCAAACAGTTGTTTTTCAGATTCTGTGCTCTGAGCTTACAGTCAGTGTTAATGTTTATTAATTCTCAGACTGACTTCAGATCAGAAGATGAGTGATCGTGTGGAGGAAGAGGAGGACAGAGCAGAGTCTCCAATGTCCAACTGTCTGTCTATGAAGAGTGATCGGTCTAAAGAAGACCCTCCATTATTCAGTAATGAACCTGGACCCTCAGACGCACAGTAAGACACTGTTTTCTGAGCTCATAGATGATGAGGCAGGTGCTGTTTCATACTAAGATGGATATTATTTTATTTCTTCAGCAAAATCATTTCAGAATTTAAACTTCAAGAAAATGTAAATGTTGCAACTAATTCTGAAAGAACATGCATCAAACGTTTAATTAATTTTCTTACCTTTGTCCTCTAAAACTAAACTAAAAATATTTAGTTGTTTGGCTCTTCCTCAGATCAGCTGTTATGATCCACCAGATGTATCTTGAATCAGTTCATATCATAATTGTAGAAAAGCTTTACTCACCTTAGTCTGTCTGTTCAGGGGTTGAGTTTGCTCTTTAATAAAATACTTGTGTAAAATATGGTTAATACATAATCAGCTCTCATTAACTGTGAAGTAACTACAGGAAGTGTTGAGTTTGTATTAATACCGGACTACAGGCAGATCACTTAAGGTTGAATAAGACAGACGGATAAGAAAAACAGTTAATTATTGTGTTTATGAAAGTCATTGTCATTACAGACTGAATGCTGAATTCAAACAGAAAAATAACCACACTTTTTCTCTGTGACCATCTTAACTTTATATATACATCAGCAATCAACAAATCATTTTAGTTATAAAGAAATGTCTTCACAGAGAGAAGAAGAGGAGTCATGTGGAGGAGCAGCTGTCCTGCTGTGTTTTGTGTCAGGACGTCCTGAAGGATCCAGTCTCTACCAGCTGTGGACACTGGTTCTGCAGACAGTGCATCACCTCATACTGGGACCAGTCTGCTTCATCAGGAGACTCCTCCTGTCCCCAGTGTGGAGAAAGATCCAGAACAAGAGCTGGACTGCTGACAGTCAGTCAGACCAGAACTGTACAAAGTAAGACTGTACATCTGTCTGCTGATGTCCTCATGTCTGAAAACAGGACTTTATAATCTATTACAGGGACATTTGTTGTGTTATGCAGTGTATTTAATATTATCATGAATATCATAAATTCAGAAACATTTTTATTGATCCAGATTCTGGTTCTCAGTTTAGTCTCAGAATATGTTTCTTCTCTTTCAGCAGATAGTGGTGGATTGCATGGGTTGTTACCGACATCTGGGGAAAATGTCATGTCAATAGCACCTTTAGAAATATATTTTCTGAAAAAATGGTGACGTGTTCAAAACTTATTTTACCCGCTGTATGCTTCCAAATCAGCTGGATTGCCAGTCTCTAAAAGAAGAAAAAAAACAGGGTTTACATTTTGATATATAGGCACTTTCTTTCTCTTTCAGAAGATAGTGGTCTGCAGGAGGTTTTAGATGAACATAAGATCAGTCTGAAGACCAGATGTGAACGTGTGACTGAAGGACCTGATGAAACAGGAAGTGGAACCCTCCTCAACAAGATCTACACTGAGCTCTACATCACAGAGGGACAGAGTGAAGAGGTTAATACCCAACATGAGGTGAGGCAGCTTGAGACAGCTTCCAAGAAGAAGACCCTCCATGACACTCCAATCAAGTGTCACGAGATCTTTAAAGCCTTACCTGACCAACAGAGACACATCAGAGTGGTATTGACGAACGGCGTCGCTGGCGTTGGAAAAACCTTCTCAGTGCAGAAGTTCACTCTGGACTGGGCAGAGGGCTTGGAAAACCAAGATGTCAGTCTGCTGGTTCTGCTTTCGTTCAGGGAGCTGAACCTGATCAAAGATGAGCAGTACAGTCTTCTCAGGCTGCTCCATGTTTTCCATCCAACATTACAGAAGGTCACAGCAGACCAGCTCACTGTCTGTAAACTTTTGTTCATCTTTGACGGCCTGGATGAAAGCAGACTTTCACTGGATTTCCACAACAATGAGGTTGTGTCTGACGTCACACAGAAGTCTTCAGTCAACGTGCTGTTGACAAACCTCATCAAGGGGAATCTGCTTCCCTCGGCTCTCGTCTGGATAACTTCCAGACCTGCAGCAGCCAATCAGATCCCTCCTGAATGTGTTGACAGGGTAACAGAAGTACGAGGCTTCACTGACGCCCAGAAGGAGGAGTACTTCAGGAGGAGAGTCAGTGATGAAAATCTGTCCAGCAGAATCATCTCACACATCAATAACTCCAAGATCCTCTACATCATGTGTCTAATCCCAGTCTTCTGCTGGATCACTGCTACAGTTCTGGACCACATGTTGACTATAGACCAGAGGGGAGAGCTGCCCAAGACCCTGACTGACCTTTATTCACACTTCCTGCTGGTTCAGACAAAGAGGAAGAAGCAGAAGTATAAAGAGGGTCATGAGACGAGTCCACAGGAGCTGATGGAGGCTGACAGGGAAGTTCTTCTGAAGCTGGGGAGGCTGGCATTTGAACAGCTGGAGAAAGGAAACATCATGTTTTACCAAGAAGACCTGGAGCAGTATGGTCTTGATGTCACAGAGGCCTTGGTGTACTCAGGAGTTTGTACAGAGATCTTCAAAAGAGAGAGTGTGATCTTCCAGAAAACAGTCTACTGCTTTGTTCATCTGAGCATTCAGGAGTTTCTGGCTGCTGTCTACATGTTCCACTGTTACACCAACAGGAAGACAGAGGTACTGAAGGACTTCTTGGGGGAAAAAAAAGTTAATTCAACTCTGGATGTCTTTCTGAGAAATACCATGGAGAAATCCCTTAAAAGTAAAAATGGCCACCTGGACCTGTTTGTTCGCTTCCTTCATGGCCTCTCTCTGGAGTCCAACCAGAGACTCTTAGGAGGCCTGCTGGGTCAGACAGACAACAGTTCAGGAATCATCCAAAGCGCCATCAACAACCTGAAGGAGATGAACAGAGATGATATCTCTCCTGACAGAAGCATCAACATCTTCCACTGTCTGATGGAGATGAACGACCACTCAGTCCATCAGGAGATCCAACAGTTCCTGAAGTCAGAGAACAGATCAAAGGAGAAACTCTCTGAGATCCACTGCTCAGCTCTGGCCTACATGCTGCAGATGTCAGAGGAGGTTCTGGATGAGTTGGACCTGAAGAAGTATAACGCAACAGTGGAGGGACGACAGAGACTGATTCCAGCTGTGAGATACTGCAGAAAGGCTGTGTGAGTCCATTAACAACCTTTTATCATAGCTGACATACAGTTAATTGCTATTATCATACACCGAGCAGCTCCATACCAACAGACTTTGGTGCACTGTGTGTTCTGACACCTTTCTATCAGAGCCAGCATTAAGTTATTCAGCAATTTGGGCTACAGTAGCTCGTCTTTTCGATCAGACCACATAGGCCAGCTCGCCACATTCATGAATGAGCCTTAACTCTGAAGAAGAATTTCCAAATAGCTACAGCTCAAATGCATTGGGGATTGGCTACAGTATGTCTTTAATATAAGATTGATATATAATGAGTACACTTTGTGATGGATGCATGCACACCTGAGCTACATGTGCTCATGTTAATGTGCTTTGTGATCAATATATATACATTATATCAATATATATTTTCATCATAAGTGTGAAGTGTCAGATTTTATTATAGATTAAGTTTTATATTATCTGTCATTACAGACTTTCTGACTGTGAACTCTCAGAGATTCACTGTGAAGTTGTGGCCTCAGCTCTGAAGTCCAACCCCTCCCATCTGAGAGAGCTGAACCTGACTTGGAACAACCTGCAGGATTCAGGAGTGAAGCTGTTGTGTGCTGGACTGGAGAGTCCACACTGTAAACTGGAGACTCTAAGGTCACTTCATGTATTTTGCTCTTGTACAGTGTATATCTACCAAATTTAAATCCATAACAGAAGTTTTAAATTCCTTTCAGTTTTCTGGGTTTGTCTGAGCACAAATCACAACAACCCTTCTTTAAAGTTATCAGTCTTAACAGTTTTATATGGATTTATGTTATTGAAAATAGTAGGATTTAGTCTTCAATGTGCTGTGAAATTAAATGAATATGTACTTTTTTTCTCACACGTAAGATGCATTTATATATAAAAAATAAAAGTTCAACAGATTTTTATAAATAATGTATTTTAATACGTACCCTTATACAAGAACGTATAAATGTATACATAAAGCTTTTTCTCATACACACACACACAGTCTAATACTGACATACAGGAGCAGAGAGACAGAGTGCGAAGCATATTTCCAAATGAAGATGAACATGTAATAAGCTTCCATGTTTCTTTGTATTCTGACTCAATCAGTAAACAGGAGAATAAATAATACACTACATGTATATGGGAAGGTACTAGATTACAATTAAGATGAAGAAAACATGCAGCTCTCTTTGCTCAGTGCACATTTGATCCAGTTATAATGACGATTGAGGATGAAGCTGAAGTGTGTGTTGATGGAGATGACAGTGAGGATAGTCTAAATCTGTGGTTTGTAAAGTTGACTTAAATAACTATTTATAATTTATAGAAAAAGGTCAGTCTTAGTATTTTTCGTACAATGACACGATTGTTATTAATTGGATAAAAAAGAAACGTAATGAGTCGATTTGATAATTATTGACTGACATTATGATGATCCACAATAACACAATGACAAAGTCACTCTACTCATTTTAGAGAAAAGCTCATTGATTAGGACATAGTAATCGTTGATCTCCACATTTAAAACCTGAACACATCTGATTGGATTATTAATGATTTTTATCTTCATCATTTATTCTTCATTCAGATTGAGTCGTTGCAGTTTGTCAGAGATCAGCTGTGATTATCTGGTCTCAGCTCTGAAGTCCAACCCCTCCCATCTGAGAGAGCTGGAACTGAGTATCAACAAGCTGCAGGATTCAGGAGTGAAGCTGCTGTGTGGTTTTCTGGAGAGTCCACACTGTAGACTGGAGACTCTGAGGTCAGTTCACTGACTCTCTATTACTATTGTAGATCTGATATGATTGATTATTATTGATTATGTTTATGGAAGTAGAAAAATGTCTCTGGTTTCTGTTGATTTCAATGTGTTTTCACAAATAATGTCTGATCATTGTTATTGATCCTTCTGAACACACAAAGATCAAAGCATATTTCCAAATGCAGCTGTTTAAAGGCTCAATATAGTATTGATCCTCTAATTACAGACCTGACCGAGATCAGCAGCATGTTATTGATCAGTGTTGACATGAATAGGTGTATGAATGTTGACATTTGGATGATGTCTGTAGAAGGCTGACATTATGATGATCCACAATAACACAATGACAAAGTCACTCTACTCATTTTAGAGAAAATCTCATTGATTAGGACATAGTAATGTTGATCTCCACATTTAAAACCTGAACACATCTGATTGGATTTTCTTCATTTTTTATTTTTTTTATTCAGATTGAGGGGCTGCAGATTGTCAGAGATCAGCTGTGATTATCTGGTCTCAGCTCTGAAGTCCAACCCCTCCCATCTGAGAGAGCTGGAACTGGGTCACAACAATCTGCAGGATTCAGGAGTGAAGCTGCTGTGTGGTTTTCTGGAGAGTCCACACTGTAGACTGGAGACTCTGAGGTCAGACACCATTCTTTCCTTCTGTGCTGAGATTAATCTGATGTGAAAGTTGTGCTGACAGTAAAGTGCAGACATAAGGCTGATATTATACTGATCTACACTGAGTATCTTAATGTCTGTTTTCTTCTTCAGTGGTTTAGTCCATTGACTGTGGCAGAGCAATGTTGAGCTCCACATTTAAAACCTGAATATAACAAGAAGAATCTACACTGAATAATTCACTCTGAACCTCTTAAACTTTTGATTTTTATCTTATATTCCACATCTTGTTTTTTTAATATATAAGATAAAAAATACTCTGAAGCTAAACTGAATATGCATTGATTTTATTACTCCACTGTTCCTAAAAGAAATATTGTAGATGTCCTTTGTTCACATTTCCCTGAAATCCATCCTGACATATTTGGTATCTTTGTAAACTTTAGGATCTTGAGTGGAACCTTCAATCAGTTTCTGTGGGTTTTTCTTTGTGTTTGGCTGCACAACATGAGTTTGTATAGATGGAGCCACTGGTGGAGCTGGCAGAGGTTAAGAGCTGAAGTCACTACGTCTTTATTGAAGCAGCAGCACGTTGTCATTAATATTAATGAGAGCTCTTTTTCACTCTTTGTATTTTACAGTTTTCAACCTGCTGTTGGGTTCAGGTGTTTGGAGTTTCCATTTTCTAAACTTGTACATTCTAAACCTTCTTCAGCTCTGAACAGATTATTAAACACTGAATGATTTCAAGCTAGAGATGGAGCCGATCCGATCCAGTA